CTTCCTAATGCTGCGGCCCTTTAAGACAGTTCCTCATGTGGTGGTGACCCCACAACCATACAATTATTTTCATTGCTACTTCATCACTGTCATTTTGCTACTGTGATGAATCAGGCGACCCCTGTGAAAGGGTCGTTCGACCCCCAAAGGGGTTGTGACCCACAGGTTGAGAACTGCTGCCTTATCTGCTCATTCAATGAGAACCAGCCGGCTGCAGCACAGAGGGCAAACTGGATGGCTCTCAAGGCAGGTGACGAAGTGACCAGGGGACAAGGTTTGAATTTCACCCTGGCCAAAGGCCAATAGCTCAGGCCTCCGAGCTTCAGCTTCCTCGCGGAGACAGATGGTGGCAATTTCGACTAACGGCCAGCCCGGAGAGCCAAGGGAGTGTGTGCTGAGGATGGCGACGTCTCATGTGGGCTCCAGCCTGGAGCCAAGCCTCCCTTCAGATTCAGAGCACAGAGGGCAAGGTCGAGATGCAGGCGAGGGTGCCTGGGCACCGAGCACAGCCAAGTGGAGAGGGGCTTTGCCTGGAATGGAGCTACCTACTTAGCCTCCGGACCCTTCACTGCTTCCCGCCTGGAGGTGGGAATACTAGTACCTGCCTCACACAGCTGGGCTGCAAATTACATACCACGCACGGTACAAACAGGTAACACACTGGGCTGCTATCCCAAAGGCTGGAGGTTCAAGTCTACCCAGAGGCACCCGGAAGAAAGGCCTGGTGACTCACGTCTGAAAAGGCAGCCGGTGAATACCCTGTTGGAGCACAGTTCTACTCTGACCCACATGGGGCGTCACGAGGCAGAGTTGACTTGCGGTCAACTGGTTTAGTAATTTGTCGTCGGCTCCATAAAGGGTGATAAGGGCAACTGGAGTAACTCACAGGGATGACTAGCTTCCAGTGAACTGGCCCACCTGCCGGGGCTGAATTTTGAAGGGTCGCTGACACTGGTTCTCAGTTGGGGGTAATTTTGTCCCCCAGGGGACACTGGGCAATGTCACGGTGACCTTTGTGGTGGTCACATCCCTGGAGTGTATCCGACGCTGTTGTGAAACATTCTACGAGGCCCAGAACACGTCCTCCCTCACAGGCCCATGGTGCTGCGGGCTCTCAGCTCATATTCCACCTCACCTTCAACCGATCAAGGCCGTGTTTCACTTCCCAGTTCCATGGGGAACAGCTCCCGTGGGCGGGTCCTGGCTGAGCAATAGGGACTGCTGAATGCACACAAGAATGCCACCGGCTGCCACATGGCACCATCCGGTGACTAAGATGCCACAGGTGCCAGGGAAGGTCCCCTTGGAGGAAGTGTCCCGAAAGGCAGGTTCTCAGGTGGATTTCCTGGATGGTCCCATGATGAGTCACCCTGCCTCGAGCTGGGGAGCATCCGGGCAGCACAGGCAGCCTCCGCCTACCAACCTCTCTAAGGAGAAGAGGGTTTAACCCTCCAACACAGGGCAAACACCCTGCTCAGGACCCAACTCATTCCCTGAAGAAAGGCTGCCTCTCCCTCCACCTACCCCTCCCTCACCCACCCAACAGACAACCACGGTCCCCACATGGCAGGCTAGACTATGGTGAGGAGGGCCTTGTCCTCATGGAGCTTGTGGAAAGGACTCGGCAAAGTGCCCCTCCTCCCCTCCCCACCCCCCATGGCACTGACCTGTTCCTGTAAGCTGCACCGCCATCTTCCTCGAACCAAGGACAGTTGCTATATTTTTCTAGATAAAAACACCTGGCTCTTGCTCCTTATTTCACAGGGAAGTTCAGAGAGGTTGAAGTGACTCAATCAAGGTCAGACGACAAGTAGGTCTCAGGGACAAGAGGGGACTCCAGGTCCCTCTACCTGGGTTTTTCCAGGCTACCACTGACTGGCCTGGCATGCAGCCTGCTGCGGACCTGCTCGGTTCTGAGCCCGACACACAGGATCCTTCACTAAATCCCCATCCCTGCCGTGGAAGGTGAGGACAACTGCTATGCCTGTGGGACACAAGGAGACTTTGCCTTGTATACCCAGCCATGCTGCCCCTAATCACTCTTCATTCTTGGCTCCTGGATAAAGGGGGTAGCAAGCCATGCCTCGGTTTAGTGAGACAGTTGTCTAAATGGCCTTTGAGGGCCCTCCAAGCTGCCCTCGGGGATCCTGGGAGCCCTCCCACTGCGCCTCGGGGAAGCTGGCAGCCCTCGGCAGGTGCTCCGGCTCTTCAAGACTGTAGTCACCTGTGGCTAGCACTCGGCAGGGGCTGACCAAGAAAGCAGGGGCAGACGCTCACACGAGGTCCCAGTCTTATTTAGGGATGAGGCCGTTCCGTATTTCTCCTCTTCCTCGTCCCCCTCTACCAGCCAAGGTTCCATGGGAAGCCAAGGAACCTTTCCCTGGTTACGTGGTTGTTGGGGATTCCATGGCAGCTTTGTTCTCTCGCTCAGCTTCCCATCGGAATTAGCATCAGAGGGGTTTGTGCCCGAAGCTTCCATCCGTTTAGGGCACAAGGAGTCTTGTGCAGACAGGAGGCGGTGGTAGCGGGCTGGGAAGCGGAGCTCTGGGCAGGAGGGTGCTTAGGAGCAGACCGTGCAGTGGGTGATAGAAAACACCCGGGGTTGCAGTGGGTGGGATGGTGGCCCCCAAAGCACATGTTCTAGAATCTGTGACAGTGACTGTATTTGGGAAAATGGGCTTTGTAGATGTGATTAAGTTAAAGATTTTTGTGGTGAGAACATTCTGAATTGTCTGAGTGGATCCCGAATCCAATGGCAAGTGTCTGTATAAGAAACACACTGAGGAGAGGCAAGGGAGGAGGACGAGGAGGGGGAGGAGAGGAGGAGGAAGTCGCCTGCAGGTAGAGGCAAAGACTACAGCTATGCAGTCACAAGCCAAGGAATGCCCGGGGCCACCAGGAGCTGGGAAGTTGCATGGAAGTAGTCTATTCATAACCTTCATTTTGCAGGGGGGCGGGGCGTGGGGGAGGCCCCCAGTCATGCCAACCCCTTTGGTTTGGGCTTGTGGTCTCCAGGCCTGTGAGAGACTTAACTGTTGCCATCGGAAGCCTCCAGGTTGGTGGGAACTTGGAGGACTGATCCAGGTGGAGCCACATAACCATTACTGAACAACCTTGGGTAGACTGTTCACCTCTCCGAGGCAAGTCCTCAGCTATCAAATCATGCCGGCAATCTACCTCAGTCCATTTAGCAAATATTTACTGAATGACACTATGCACTGGCCATGTGGTTGAGTGGTGGTGTTCAGAAACAGAACCAGGTTGTGAATAAAACCAGGCATGGAGTCTGCCTGCGTGGAGCTGACAGTCATGTGGGAAGGCAGAAGATCCATCAAAGAAACACATGAAGCCAAAGCCCGCTGTGATCGAGTGGATCCCAATAGGACAGAGTCGAACCACTCCATAAGGGTCCCAAGGGCTGCCGACAGTCAAGTCAGCGGTTCAAAACCACCTGGGGGAAGATGAGGCTTTCTCCTCCTGAAAACCAAAGTTTGAACTTTGTTCAAAGTTCAAGGTTGTGCAAAGTAACAGTCTCAGAAATGCATAAGGGCCGTTCTTCCCTGTCTGAGAGGGTCGCTGTGAGTCAGCATCCGCTCAAAGGCAGTGAGCTTGGTTTGGGAATCCTTTTGGAGGCAGACATTGCCCCATGTTTCTCCTACAGAACAGCTGATGGGTGCAAGCGGCCGGCCCTTTGGTTAGCCGTTGAGGGCTTAACCACGGTGCCACCAGGGCTCCGGAAAGAATCACACACAGTGGAAATGGTGGGGGGCCAAGTGGGGAAGCCAGGAGGGCTTGCCCCAGGGAAGTGATGATGGAGCTGCATGAAGGAGGACAAGTAGAAAGTATCAGGCAGGGAGGAGCAGAGAGGATAGATGCATTAAAGTCTCTCTCCCTGGTCGCTCCCCTCTCCTCCCCCTCTCCTGTCCAGTCCTCTCTCCCTTCTTCCCTTGCCCTCCTTCCCTTCCCCCTCTCTCCACGTGGACCACCAAGCTGGGCTGAGGTGAGCAATGCTACCATGTAATGTGTCTGACTGCATTATTGTATCTCTCATGCTCTCGATGACTTTAATATAATACTCACATATCTCAACCGTACAGTTGTGCTTACTGAACCCGTGGGTAGTAGTAGTGGTGGGGGCTGGCCCCCTCACTCACCCCTCGCCATTTAATACTACACAACAGTGGGGATAGGGGGGCTGGAGAAACTGCTGGAAGCCAGTGTGGGTCCAGCCAAGGTGCAGGGCAGGGGGAGCGTGTGGAGAGACGAGGCTAGAGGGTGGGCAACAGCCGCCCACACAGGGCCTTGCCAGCCCCTTGGGAGGCCCTGGTCTTGGTCAGCTGTGGTTTGAAAAGGCCACCGAAGCTGCAGGGTGGAGAACGATGCTGGCTGGGGGTGACAGCAGGAAGCCAGGAGATGGGCGATGATGGCTGGACCAAGGTGATGATGGGTGGAGGTAGTGGGGTAGGGGGCGGCAGGATCAGGAGATACTTAGTTGGCAAAACCACAGGTCCATGAATGAAGTGCAGGAGAAAGACAAGGCTTTCTGTACCTGTAAAGACTTACAGCCTTGGGAACCACAGCGGCAGTTCTGCTCTGTCCTACAGGGTCGCTGGGAGTCAGAATGAACTATAAGGGCTGGAGGGAGTCTGATGACTAAGCGCTCACCAGCTCACCAACTACACTGGGCTCCCCTTCCTTCCTGGCACCACCGAGACCACGGAGGACCACGGGCGATGGTCCCGATCCCTTCTTCACTAGCTGAGGTTGAAGAAATGACACGCGCCTCCCTGCCCCGGAGCCGATCCTGATGATGGGCACTCTGTCTGGAAGCGATGGAGATGAACTCTTCCACGGGAGCAGACAGCCTCATCCTGGACCCACAGGGCAAGGCAACATTGCCAGTGAGCCGTCCAGTGCCCAGCCCCACCCACAGCACCCACAGGGCCCCTGGGGGCTGAAGGAGCAGGCCCATGATGACACAGTTTAACAAATCCACTTACCATCCTTGAGTGAGAAGGTCAGCAGGTCCTGGGGGGAAAGTAACACGATTCAGCAATAAATAGGTTGGTATCTACCAGCTCGCTCACTCAGCAAATATTTATTGACTTCGACTTAGCGGCCGAACAAGATCGACAAAACCCTCTGCCCTGCATTCTAGACAAGAGGCAGGCAGAGCGCAGGGAACCAATCAATGAAAGTGCGTGCGAGGGGGTGGGTGGTGAAATAAAAAAGGGGAAGGGGCAGAAGGTGATGGTGGGGGGCAGGGGTGGTTTTACATCTATGCGGGGACTTCACAAAGTTCATGGAAACATGAAATGAAAAAGCAATGAAAAATTTCCATATCTTTTTTTTAATGTCCCTCTCATGTGCATTTCCCCCCAAGTAACCAAGGTCACAAGTGTCTGCCTGCTTCGACTGCACGCAGGACAGTGGAGGGACCAGCCTGGAGCAGTGAGAAGCATGGACTCTGGAGTCAGACTACCTGGGCTCAACACCTGGCCGAGCCACTTGTCAGCTGGGTGTCCCTGGGCAAGCTACTTCACCCTTGGGTCTCGGCTTCCCTCCCTATATAATGGGATGATTAGACCCCTCCCTCATAAACACGCTCCGAGAATTAAATGAGTAAGTATTTGGAAAGGCACTTGCACATAATAAACCCTCTATAAAGATCAGATTGCATAAGTGGTCAGTATTCAATAACAATTCAACGTGAGCTATTACCATTACCGCAAAACTATACCAGGATGAGAGATGATCTTTTGGGTCACGCCACCCCAACTCACTAGAAGCAATTTCCCGACGGACTTTTGAAAGGAAGTAATTTGTTCTACTCATCAACTCCCAGCCTCAGTGCCCCATGTCCACCCTCATCCCTAGCTGCCACCCACCCCAAGGGTGGTGCATACCTGTGTGATCACCAACGGGTCTTTCTTCAAGATGGGGTCCTTCAATAGGATCTGGACAAACATGTCTGCTCCTTCGCCCCCCAGGCCGCTGGCAAAAGCAGTCATTGTCGGCAAGACAGCTTCAGACAACTCCAGCCACGTCACCAGGCCAGTCACAAACTCTGTGCAGAAGGGGCTGAAAGACCACCGAGCACAGCTTAGAGTCCAAGGTTTCCTGGATCCTGCCCCTTGCACAGCCTTGGGAGGTTTGGGTCAGACTAGCTCATGTACGAGCACGGGGCGGGGGTGGCCCAGGGTAGACTTCTTGACTTCCACCTGGCAGACTCGGCCCAACCAATGCACTTCATGTACAGCCACCACCTGTCTGTCAGTGGACACGGCCCATGACACCGTGAAGCTGAACACAGTGTTAAGGTTTCAAGGGAGCTTCCAGACAGAGTCAGATGGAAAAGGCCCAGCGATCTACTTCTGAAAACAGGACCTTGGAAACTTTAACAAGATATTCACACCGACTCCTCACTGAATGACTCTTCTTAGCTGACATTTTGTATTGACGACAACAGTAAAACACCTGACTATTCTGTGCATTGATGGTACCTGGTGGCACTAACAGACGCCAGGTGGGAAGCGAGAGGAATGCTGGCTGTGACAGCTAAGGTGAACTTGTGTCGACTTGGCTGGGTCAGGATTCTCAATGGTTTGGCCGTTATGCGGTGATGATATCTGGCAATTATGTAATGTTGTAGCCAGCCTCCATTTTTGCCTAACGCTTATTTTTGTGTAATGGCCTGTCTTTGGAAGCTAACCGTGTCTCTAAGTGTGGTGCAGATGGGTAAGAAAGCTTTAGGGAGTGATCTAAGGGTCAGCACCTATGGGGAGGCAGGGAGGAGACCAAGTTGGCAGTTTTGACAATTGAAGCTATAGTAAGTTTTGAGATCAGGGCATGAGAGGCCTCCTACTTTGTTCACTTTTAGTAGTGCTTTGTTTACCTGGGGTCTCTCTCCTCCACATATGTTGGTGATTAAGTTTCTTTCCCTTTAAAGAATGATGCTGGACTCTGGATGTGGATTGCATGATATCGGTAGATCACGTGGGCTGGTATTTTTCACAATGCCAGGTCTTCCTATCCATGAGCACAGTATAGTCTTCCATTTATGGAGGATTTCCAACCCCACCCCCTTCCCCTTTCTTGGGGCAGCATTTTGTAGTTTTATTTGTACAGGCCTTTTGTTTCTCTGGTTATATTTATTCCCAAATATCCAATCTTTGGGTTGGCTGTTACAAACAGTATACTGTGTCCCTGATTTTCTGTTCAGATCTCCATTTGTTAGCATAAAGGAATCCAATTGCTTTTTGGTTTTTGATCTTGCACCTGCCACTTTGCCGAATCTTTCAATGAGTTCCAATACTTTCCTTCCCGTATCCTTGGGATTTTGCTACCCATAGGATCATGTCATCTGCAAATAGAATTTCACGACTTCTTTGCCATTTTGGATGCATTAATTTCCCTTTCTTGTCTAATAGTTCTGGCTGAGACTTTCAGCACAACATTGAGCAGGTGTGGTGATGAAGTGTTTCTTCTTTGTTTGGTTCCTTTTTGCTGCGGGAATGCCTTCAGGTTCCCACCTTTGAAAATCATGCTGACTGTTGCTTTTGTAAACATGCCCTTGATTCTGCTAAGGAATTTAGTGTAGGGTGTGTTTTAAGCCCATCTCTCTTGAGAGAGACGTAAAAGAGCGGAGAGATCAAGTAGGCAAGCAGAGATGCAGGAAGATAGATGCCACATCGCAGGAGGTCTCTAAGGAACCAGGAAACAGAAGCCGAAAACAAGGAGCTTCCTCCAGAGCTTCTCCTAGAGCCAACACTCTGTGTTTGAACTTCTAGCCTCTAAACTGTGAGGGAAAAAAGTCCTGTTTGCTAAAGTCACCACCTGGGATTTCGGGAGAGCAGCGCTCCATAACGAGGACTGCTGCCCACAAGGGAGCTGAAGAGACCAACTCCATAAGGCTGTTTGAAGATTTGATGAAACACTATGGCATGCAGACCAGGGCTTGGCATATAGTAGATGCTCAGTAAATGCCAGCAGGCATTGTTATTGTTACTTACAAGGTGGCAAAGGGAGACAGCCAAGAAGAGTGGTTGAGTCGTGCTCTGAAGTCCAACCACCTGAGAAGAGTCCCATCGTCCTCATGGACTGGCTGTGTGCCCTCACTTCACCTCTCTTAGCCGCACTGTCCTCTGCTGTCAAACACGGAGGACAGCGGGACCTGTCCCAGAGGTTTGTTGGGAAGATTAAATGACAGGATAACAGTGTCTGGTACCTGGTAAACCCTCAACACTGCTTTACAGTGATCGTCTTGGGTTGGAATAAGGGATGTATGTGCATTGGGAGAGGGGGCAGCTACTTTAAGAGATTGAACCTTACTTCAAAACCATGCCCGCTGCTGTTGAGGAATTGATTCCAACTCACAGTGATCCTATAGGACTGAGTAGAATGGCCCAATAAAGTTTCCAGTATGGTCATCGGTACCACTGATGGGTTTACAATGCTGGTCTTCCAA